CCTTCAATTCAATTTTATTCAATTTCCTCTGGCGCTCTAATAATGGTGGCTTTTAATTCTTGAACCATCAAGTACAGAGTGTCCTAAAAAAATATACTCATATAATATTTGCGAACACGTACGCGTGTGTAAACAATTTACGGAAAATGCTAACCTATTCAGTAACTCATTAGCTTCTGCTCGTTTATTCTATTAGATCTATAAATACATTTCGATCAAAGTTAAATGTACAGAGTGTTAGATAAGTCGATAGAAAATTTGCAAGGAATGATAAAAAAAGGTCATTTAGAACATATTTAGCTATACCTTTATGTACAGTATCATGGTTTTTGAGATATTGCCCACTTTGTTAATTTCGCTTATTACCGGACATCTTCGAAGTAAACGATTGTAGAAAGTTTATTATGATTATTATAAACGCCAAATTTATATCAGGACAAAACAAAGTTTTTAAAAACATTTTAATTTGATAGGAACTAGCTGTTTCTAAGAAAAGAGCTATTGAAAATTTACTTTAATTACAAGGCACAGTATGCAAGCAGCTTCATTCGCTTACCAAATATCTAGAATCACATTCAGAAATATTTTCTTGGATGATTTAAATAAAACACATTCTAAAGATCAGAAAATATACAAAGGAGTTTATAATAATCATAATAAACTTTCTGCAATCGTTTACTTCAGAAATATCCGGTAATAAGCAAAATGAACAAAGTAGTCTATATCTCAAAAACCATGATACTTTGCATAAAGGGATAGCTAAGTAACAAATGACCTCTTTCCTCATCCCTTACAAACTTTCTATCGACACATCTAAGATACTGCATAATAAAATTAATTAAAGTTAAATTAATAGTCAGTTAAAGTATGAGTACATTTTATTGAGGCACCTTGCATTTTACGTTTCTATTTATACATATATTTGGGTGACAAAATTTCCCATACATTTTCAATAGTACTTATATTTAGAATTATATTTCAGTCATATTTTTAGATTTCAGCAATGTCATCTGACTTTTTTCCTAATGGAAAAAAAATTCTTTTTACTATCTTTAAGGTTTCCTGTCGAAATTCAAATTATACATTTCATCATGTTGTTGAAAAAAAGGGAGCAAACATAATTCTAAAACTACTTAACCAGTTAAGTGTGTTTGACGACTATATCCGTCATGGAAATGTGGCAGAATTTTGTGTCATGACGACTATATCCGTCATGCGTAAAATTTTTGTTACAATTTGATATTTAAATTGTAATTTTGGCGAAAACTAAATTATATTCATAAATTGTAATATGTTTAAAATGTTTAGAGGTCAATACGAAATGAAATAAACAAATAAAATGTGTAAATGATTTGACATGGATTCATAAATTCTTGAGAGCTAACTCGCCGTCGCTTGATTATCGCGACACACACTGGTGCGCGCTTTGCAAAAAGATCGCCACAGTTAACTGGTTAATTCTTTTAGTGCTGAATGACGATATATCGCTGTGAATGCAATGGCATTTTCCTTTGCATTTTGATAGTAGTAATTTTGTTATAAATAATTGAAAATGTAGTGCTTATGTTTTATATTAAGGTGAAGTCGGGTAAGTTCGTAAACGGGGCAAGTGCGTATACAGGCTATTTTTATTACAATATGAGCGAAATTTCTCCATTTAGTATGATTGTTTCCATGTTTTGTTTCACTATATTCCCTCTTATATTTCAGCTAAGAGTACTTGTTTGCAGTATAGAGTACTTGCATAATGCAGTAAAAAGCATTTTATAGCAGATTTGTTAATAATTCTGCTCTTGCCCCATTGCACATCCATTGCACATGAAACAAAGTTTCAAAGTATTTAACTTCAAGTTACGCTCTTACATTTTCGGGGAAAGTGCAGAGTAGTTAACATTTTAAACAATTTCCTATCAAAAGCAAAATGTACAAGGAAAACTGAGGTCCTAGTTAATATTAACACTTTGCATGCGGGCATGGTTTTCTAAGTATTTGGATGTGTAGCGGGCAAATCCAGGTTTTTCGCGTGCCACTCAATTTGATAATTTACGAATGTTATTGATATGAAGGAACTTAATTTTATAAATAAAAGATTGACTAATTCATTACATATAATTTTATTCGTGACTTTCGTAAAAATAAAAAATGTACATTTTACTGATAATTAGTATTTAATTATTGTATGGTAGCGTTCAAAGCAAAAATAGGATAAAGTAAAGCGCGTTCCTTCAAAGGAGTTGTAGAAAACAATAAATTGCTAGACATAATACAATTAGTTTTGGAGCCACAGAAAGTATATAGTTTATTGCAGTTTATTGCGCAACTGAGATTACAGTCTCCCGCTTTCAACGTTCGTTCTTTTTCGGACTGTGATCACAGTCTCCCGCTTGCAATGTGTTAATTAAATAATAGTAATTATGCAAAGCATTCAATATCGACAGCATTAAGTATTTACATAGCAGATTGAAAATACTTACGTTTAAATACCAACTTTACAAAAATCAGTCTGCACTTACCCCACTTCACCTTACGTATAAATGGCATCTTCTTTTGCATTTTGATATTAGTAATTTTGTCATAAACAATTTAAAATGTAGTGCTTATGCTTTATATTACGTATAAATGTCATCTTCTTTTGCATTTTGATATTAGTAATTTTGTTATAAGTAATTGAAAATATAGTGCTTGTACGTTATACTTCATATTCTACATCGAAACTATGAAGAGATGATTCTTATTTGCAAATATAAAAGAAAACTGATTTTTTCATTTTTCCTGCTTTCGATCGACACTAAATGGACTAATATTCTTCACTATTCAACTTCGCACTCAAGAGTGTTTCGAATTCACTGAAACAAGTTGCATATATCACAGCATTAACACCACGTAATTCGACGCTACACCGATTAATTGTGGACATCGATAACAAGGATTTTATTCAAACTAAAATATCTTGTAATGCATATGTGCAATTAAGAATATTTTCAATTTAGTAAAAAAATACTACCATATAAAATATGCAATTTTTTACTACTTACATGAAAATGCACTTTAGAATTTTTATCTCCAATTAGATTGCATTTTCTTTTACTTTATGTAACAACAGTTGTTTATTATAATAAAACTATTGTTTTGACTAAAATTAATTTTACAACATTAAAAATTATGAACAAATTGTAGTAATAAGGTAGAGATAATTTTGAAGGTATTTCAAAGTATCACCACATTTTATCTTTAAATTGAATCCTTTATCTAAATGGGGACTAAAAATGATGTTTCGAGATGTTAAAGAAACTGTACTTAACTTTCGCGCGCAACGTTGCCTCACGCTGTTCGATATAATGTTTATAATCTTTACTTCCACTGATAGAACAAAAAATTTTGCAGAAATTCAATAAACTGCAAAAATAAAAATTGTGGGAATATCTATTTTGCTATAAAAAAAGGTCAAGATCACTTCTTCTTGATTAAATACCACCACATAATCTTTCTTACGTAGAGTTGCAAATTAAATTAAGGAAAATTCAATAATGTAGGTACTTTTGTTTAATAATGTATCAACGCGTAAGTCACTCGTTACAGTAAAACTAATTGTTCCGATAAGTTAATGACATTGACGTCAAAAAGTTTTTGATCGATTTCGCTTTTCCTCGAAAGTTATGTGTCGGAAAAAGCACCTTCAATTTGAATTAATGATTTTCTGAAGCTTCCGAAGCGACGAAATATTTTTCAACGTTATGGTAACGTAGTATGAGAAAGTTTCAGTGCGTCCGAAATACTCCCACTTGCAAGGATGAGTAGCAAAGAATATCAAACACTTTATGAATTGCAGTTACTCCCTTATCTTCAAGAACATGGTAATATATCATTCATATCTTGTCTTAACAGAACCATGCCCCTATTCATTGCAATGTAACTGCACGACATGGCTTTGGGGTCATAACATTCAAATTTTAAAATGACTGGCACGTTCCGCGAATATAAATATCATTGAAAATGGACGGGGAATGCTAATGAACCGATCTTATAAAAAGAACAAAAATATTTTGCGGTTCAAGAATTAAAAGCTGTGGAGTGCAGAAATGAATTGATTGAACATCAATTGAATTCATTATTAAGATTATGAAGACGAATTTTTTAATTAATTGATAGCAATGGAGCTGCAATTTTTTCAGTAGTTCATAATGCATATTTACAGAACAGAAAATAATTAATAAGAATAAAATGGTAAAAACAAAACAATAAAAATTAGATAACTGTAAAATAGTATTGTAAATTTTTTTAAAGTTAAGTTATACATATTTAATGTAACCAAAAGCATATTAAAACATTTATTTAACCTTCCGTTATATTATTTTTTAATTTCATAAAACAATACATTTTTAAACTCTCTGCAACGGCAATAATAATAAAATAATAATATATATTGCTTTTTATTACAAAAATTATCTTTAAAAAAAGTTATACAATACTGTCAATTTGCAGAATTATATAAATATAAAAAAAATAATTGGGTAAAAAATATTTTCGATAATTTTAATAACAGTGAAATATGATATTTATTTGCAACCGACAAAACTAAAAAATTGCATAATATATTATTTTAAATAATATATTTGTAATATAATGAAACGGAGAATTAAGAATTATACTACAAAATTGCACTCAAATAATAATAATAATAATAATAATAATAAATAATAAAAATTACATTTAAAAACGAAATTATACATTTTATATTTAATTCGGACAACTGTCACTTTTTACTGAAACTGCCACTAGTATACCAATAACAAGAACCATTATATACTTAAGAAATAGCTAACAATTAAGAATAAAATCAAATATTTTTTCAAAACCTAATATAAACAATTTTGCTACTCAAGTTTAAATTAATAATAATTAATAACTATTATTAATTTGTAATAATTTATTTAATAAAGAACCAGTATTTTATTTCTAAAATATGAATTATAAATAGATAACGATGGTACATAACTTACCTGTTGCCAGTAAATTCGATGATTTCTTTCTCATTTACGCGAAATTCTGAATCCTTGTATCCCCAGCCATCCCACTTTAATAGTTCTTGCCTTTAAAGATTTAGAAAGATACATATGATTATTTATCGCATAGCATCACCACTTTAAAAAATTAGCAATATTAATTGAGAATATCGAAAACGAAAATGTGTACATCTAGATATTTGTAATACATCCCGCGCGCATTTTTCGCGCCACGTGACTGACCAAGTAACCAATCAGTAAAGGCAGCATTTCTTCCTAGATAACAAGTACCCGGTGAATGAATCAATTTCGTGTACGAAATATAAATTGACAGGAAAAAGTATTAAGAGAAATTAATCGTCTCGATGTTCTCATAATTTATTACACAAACAAGTAATACTATTCGTATGAAAAATCATAATTGTCATTCAGAGAAAAAATATTATATCGATCGATTTCTCTTTCTCTTTCACGCTTGAACAACACAAGGGATGCTTTAGATTCGTAACATCTGCCGATGAGTCAGCTAGCACTCGCCTCAAGGCGTGGCTACAAATAATTTAACAAAGGTTCTTGCTCTCGTGGACACTTTTCGCGATATTGTTACTGACATATTAAAGATTCCATAGAAACTGACGTAAACCAGAAATCGCCGGCACAAAACTGACCTTTCTTTTGGTATAACACTCTGGACACAGATGGGTCCATTTAAATTCTCCGCATCCTCATTTGTTCCATTTTTCGGATTAGTCGACATATCCTATTAAGTGCACCGCAAAGGGCCTAACCTTTCGATCCGCACAAAACACGTCCAGTAAAGCGTATATAGATGCTTGAGCGCGCGCTCTTCGCGGCACTGTGTTGACTATTGACACGCGCACCGGCAAACCAAATTTAAATCAATAGAGCCCCCGCTCTACGACTACCCGCCTACCGACGGATTTCCTCGTGAAAGGAACCAATCGCTTATAGCCGATACATTCTCGTTGTAAATAGCGACCCGTTCTTCATCTACTAGCAACTAGCCGGCACACTACGTTTACCGTTCTTCACACATGTTCTATGATATTGTTACTCTGCTTGCCCAAATTGAGGGATTCTTTCCATGAAAGATTTCTTACGCATGCGCAATCAAACATTTCATACGAGGAATCGTAAAATTTATCATATGTTTACTTAAGTATCATTGGATCGATGTGATTATGAAAAGTATAGGTTATTTATTCAAACGTTAACAGAACGTATTTGTAATATTTCAGACTAATTAAATAATAGGTTACGTATCGCATACATTACATATGAATTCCATTTCTCCATGATTAGTAGCATATTATGGTCAGATGCAAAATATGGAAATTAAATACTGAACATATCAGTATCATGTAGTATTCAATGAGAAAATATGACGGTATGTTAGAAATCATTGAAGCACTATTTCAACACAAAAAGTTACAAATGCTAAATTTCATGTATTTTATATATATAATGTATTATTATTCAAATTGTCAATTTATAATGAAAATATCTACAAAATATATACATATGTGAATAGCTTGAAAAAATTTCTTTTTGTAGTATTAATATAAACATAATGTTAGAAAACCTGAATGACTCCTTTGTTACAAATTAACTGCAAGTGAACGATAACAACTGTAAATATCTTTCATATCTAAAATTTTAAATAACTACTTTGGCTGTTATCTAATAACGACCTTTTTGAATTAGTGAAATAACAAACTTTAATTAGCAATAAAGCCAAAAGCAATCAATGTTTCTAAATTTTTATGCACATTAACTACATTATGTTTATTTCCACAGAAAATTTGAACTATTGAAAATTTGGTATAACATAACCTGAATACACATTTGGTGTAACATAACCTGAACGTATACACATGATGTATCAAGTAAAAGCACAACCGAAATTACTCAATGTAAATAGAGTGCCTAGTCAACCAAAAAAACGGAGGAAGATTACACTTGTATTTGATGAAAAAAAAAGAAGGTAATTATATTAAAACTAACAAAACTATGAACATTATAAACAATACATCATTTTGAATATAGAGATTTTCTGAAAGGATTTCGCAAAAGAAAATTAGAACGAAAGCAAAAAGCTCAAGAAAAATTGAAGCAACAATTAAAGGAAGAACGAAAAAAAATTAAACAGGGAGTAAGTGTGCAAAACATTTTCATATTTGCAGTAATAATAGAATATATTGTTTTCGTAGGTACAAGAATATTATAAAAACTTGGTATCGAGTCGTGACATTCCTGAAATTCAACAATTATTATCTCAACATGAGTATGAAACAGAGGGACATACTATTAGTATTCTGGAATTAAATGTTGAAGATTTAACAGAAAATAGTACATTAATTGGTGAAAATAAAGGTAATGTTGTAGAAGAAGATAATGAGAAAGAAGAAAGTGATAATAATTCTGAATACAATGAAGAGATTGTGGGAATGTCTTTAAATGAAAAGAAAAAAGCCACAAAATCAGAGGAACCTATTGAAAATAAGTTAATTACAAGTGGAAAAGACTTAAAAAAAGCAATCAAAAAAGCTACACTGCAACAGGTAAAAAAGAGTAAAGCTTTCAAACGAAAACAACAAGTAGAACGACGGAAAAATAAAAAAGAAAGTATGAGGAAACAGAAACAAAAGGAAAAAGTTCGAAAACATAGTGGGAAACTTAAAAACAAACTAAAGCAATAAACATTTTTTAATTGTGTTTTTCAAATATTGTAAATATAAATAAATACAGTTTGTAATAAACAATTTGCATAAATTACGTGTCTTTTATTTTATTTTTTGTACTAAATGGACATATATTTCTATTCAGACACTCATTACATTTAGGAAATCTTGGTAAGCAAATTTCTTGGCCAAATCCTACAAGTAGATGATTTACCTCGCTCCAAAGATTTTTTGGTAGCCATTCTTCTACTGCAGTTCTTGTTTGTTCTGGTGTCTTTGTTGGTTTTTTAACCCAACCCATTCTATTACAAATACGATGTACGTGTGTATCCACGCCAATGCCAGAAACTTCACCCCATGCTATTTGCATACAAATATGACTCATTTTTGGTCCAACCCCAGGTAACTCACACAATTCCTTTAATGTTCTAGGAATATCACTATCGTATTTATCAATTAAAATACCTGCTGTTTTTTTAATATATATTACTTTTCTCTGAAAAATATAATTTTTTAAATTCAATAATATTCTTTTAACATTGGCCTAATAGAATAGACTATTGTTATTGGTACTTTATTAATAGTTTAAAATATGGTATATACCATGTACAACAATTATATAATAATAATTATTTCTATGATAATTAAATTATACCTTCCAAAATCCAACTGGATATATCAATTTCCCAAGAACATCATCAGGAGTATCTCTTAGCATTTCTGGAGTACAGCCATAAGCATTCAATCTCTGCATGGCTGCATGAGTAACTTGATCTTTGGTTTGGCTACTAAGCATCAGTGCTACTAACGATTGAAATCTAATAACTTTAGCAGAAGCTTTAGGATCAGCGCACTTATGACAACCCATTTCATCTACAGGTGCAGTTCTGTGTTTTCGCATTTCTTTGACATTATTCAAAACAATTTCCCAATTTTGTGGCATCCAAATATTTTCTTCCTGTGTACTTTCCTTTTTAATAATTTCATGTTTTACATCTTCCAGTTTGATGTCATTACTTTGTACGTCAACTTCCTGTGTATTTTCCTTTTTAATAATTTCATGTTTTACATCTTCCAGTTTGATGTCATTACTTTGTATGTCAACATTTTCTGTGTCTTCATATTCTATTTTTATAGGAGACCGCTTTTTCTTCTCTATTTTCTTTGGCAATGTATTTTCATTATCAAAATACTTTGATGATGTAGATGACGAATCTGTAATAGTAGCTTTATTTCCAGATCGTAAAGATCTTGGCGTTTTCAAAAGATCAAGCTTTAATTTTTTACTCATTATTATTATTATTAATTTATTATTATTACGATATATTAACAAAATTCTCTGCAATGAAAAAATTCATATAATTTACACAATCAATAATATGATTTGAAAAAAACGTAACCTCTCCCGCTTTTTCAAAGCAACAATTTAAAAGTTCAGGTTTTGAACGATTCGCGCATGTGCGTATTCGTATATTCATAACTTCATGTCAAAGAGTGTTATACCTATCCTGTCTTCATATTTTGTAGTTTACGAGGGAATACCATAGACTATGGATCACCAAACGAGCTGAATTGAAATTTTTGAAAACATGAGTCCGGACGGAGAATATTTTTATTTGCGGATATTTTCATCATAAAACAATGAAATTATAAAAGTAAAATTATATATTATTAAGTAAAGCTACATATTATCAGCACTTGTAATAATACTGTTAAATATTTTCGATTGTGGTTATTTGGACTTACATTTTACATACACAATTTCCTTAGAATTGCAATAAATGAATAACCTACGACTAAACAAACTTCTGGCTGCCTAAAACAACACATTGAAATTTCTTTCGTTACAAGTCTATAATCTGGAAATCTTATACTAAATCGCAATAGGACAATAAAAAAATCGTTATCGTGAACTCATAACCAAATCATAAAAATTTTATCTTTCTCCGTGTGTAAGTTGAAATGGATGAAGAGTATTAAAAAAAAATACTACAAAACCGTCCATTCACCTTTAATAAACGTTTAAATATATGTGAAAATTCATAATATATTAAAAACTGATATCAGTATTTTTAGAAAAGCATACAAAAGCATTTACTGAGAATAAGAATGTTCAATCTCTTATAGTTAAAATTTGTTCAAAATAATTTTTTTCGAAGTAAAATTTTTTAAACTACTCAGGTAGGAAAAAGCGTACATGTATCTATATATGTAGATAATTAGTCGTGTTCTTAATCGAAAAAGTACAATTTTCATGCGTTTTACTTGTTCATAGCTCTTAAGTGCATTAACCAATTTCGATAAAATCTTTAGCATATATATACCTTATTTAAATCTGTAAAAAGTATATTTCAACATTTCGTTATATGCTTGGGTAAAAAAAAGGTTTGAAATAGACGTTCGCTATTTTTTTAGCGATTTTTAACAATTGCAATTTTTTCAAAATTACTAAAATAACTAAAATACTAAAAAGGTTCGAGTAGTTTGGTCTACTTCTAAAAAAGGTTTTAATTTTAAGTATTTTGAAGCTAGTTAACATATTTTCCGCGGCGAATGCGTATGTATAATTCTATGATCTAATATAGCAATAACATTATTTTTTAAAATAATGCGTTATATCATATCTTACTATACTGTACTATTATTAAGTTGAAGAACACATGTCAGGCTATTTTTAAACGATAAGAAGGTTACTGATAAAGCTTGCATTGACGCCTGCGATACTGTAACATCGTAATACTTTTCATGCAATCTTTTTTCACCACACCTTCAACTGGTTAATTATCTCGAGTGGTCCAAAATTTATGATACAAACGAGACCACAAAGATTCTGTGACTCAAAATATGATAAGAATCAACAATAACAAAATTGTGTAGGAATTGAAAAAAAATGCATTTGAAAATTAGTTGGAGACGTTTGCACGTATAAAATTTCACTATAAACTATATTGATTAAAATCGGTAAAAAAAGGGATAAAAATGATTATTTCTATTTTGATCCTACTGACTTAAAATTTTATACTAGCTGTTTTTCAGAAGTGCTGATATAAAATAAAATTAAATCGATATATAACGATTATTTAACAAGGAAACGGGAAAAGGATATTTGTTACAATGGAATAGGACTAATGCTGCGTGAATGTAAGGTTTTACAAATAAAAGATTTACGTTCTTATAATAGAACCAAGTAGAGCGCAAAATGAATACGAATTAAATTACCCGTTTTTCTTTATTTAACAAAAAGTTCAGAGAAAACATGTAAAATATAACGGTTTAAATATATTATATATTTTATAAATAATGCGAATAATACAGATAGAATATTTATTTATACCTCACTATCATCTATAATTTCACAAAATACTGAGAATGAAAAATACATGCGTTATCTGAAAGCTATAGCGAGGTCTTTATCTACATAGGGAACTGTAATACTGTACTCCATTATGTACTGTGCTCGATAAGAAGTTCTCTGAAAGGTATATGAAGCTGATCGGTTAAGTGGAAGTGGCATACCCTAATTGACACCTACTTTGGAGTTATAGCGTATTATTGATTGAGGTAGTCACATCTACTAATAAGGCTCAAGTAAAAGTAGTGGGCAGGGTTGTATGTGCAGTATGTCTATAACCCTCGTGTTGTCTCGTGAGACTTGTTATAGGGCACGCGCACTGATTGTCAAATCGCAATAGATTGAACATTTTACTTAATAAAATGTCCTACAAATGAAAAAAAAAAATAAAATTTGCAGATATATAGTGCGAAATCACATAATATGCACATTGACCATGATTTATAGCAGTTTTTATATTCCAGTACGAACTTTTACTGGCGTTTTCCCCACATTTATTTACAACATTTCGATCTGTAAACGGTAGCCAATAACTTTATTTTAGCTTTGATTGTGTTATTTTATAGGAAAAGTGTTCTTTAATTTGATACACAGATTATTAAAATACGGTCAAATCCTATTTGGATTATAACTATGGACATTTGAAAATAAGGAAATCATTTTACTAAGAAAAGTGAACTTTCAAAAAATCAATTTTTGTAATTTTATACCTCTTTACGATGCTTTGGTCGTTTTTGTGGACGAAAAAATATCAGCGCTTATTTACTTCTAAATAAGTTCGTAAGATATACAAGGGATATATTAAATGTAATAAATAAAGTAATAAAGCAGCCATTGTATTCTTAATTAATTTATTATTCATTAGCATGTTAATTTTTAAATAATATATTGTTCAAAATGTTGACTGCTCTTCTTGTATATTATATTATTCCTTATAGAATGTACTTTCTTTAAATGAAACCTTCTTGTTGCTTATGACATTTTTTAAATAAATTAAAACTCAATTAAGAATATAACAACTGCTTTATTATTATTATTTATTACTTCCAGTGTGTTCTTTGGATATTTTAAGAATGCACTAATTGTAAGAGATATTAATAGTAAATATTGCTTACACCACCAGGAGTATTACCTTGACGCTAATAACACTATGTATATTGGTCAGGTTCTCAGAACACCATGAGACCTTCGAAAATACTTGTCAGAATAGAAAAAATCATTAAATGATTGTCAAAATTGTATACAACACATTTGTTAAGCAAATTGAACAAAGCGATTTTAGTAATGAAATCTCCATTTTATATAATTATAAAAATTCCGAAATGAGTACATATATTAATATGAACTTGTTACTACACGTTATATCTTTTATATAAATGGTTTAAAACTTTGAACTATTTTTTATCACAAATGTCGTTCGAGAATTATCAATCTTTGAATTCCATCGATATGTGATAACATAGCGATAATCAAAATGTTGAAATTAACCGTGGGGTTTTCATATATTTCTTGTATAAAATAAAACAATTGGATAAAAAAATTTGTTAAGATTATGCTTTTTTACTTAAAAATGAACGAAATCTATTTTATGTCCTATAGTCTTAAAAAATGTCTAGGATTTTTAAAAATATATTACACTTTAACGAATTATAGTTACCAAATGATTTACCGTTTGGAGTTATTCATAAATCGCAAAGAACGACAATTGACATAGGAGACAAACGAATTTTTTTTTCCGAATTCGGGGTATGTTCTCAATGACTAAAATATTTCAGTATTTTCCTTCTCTCGTTCGAGGTAGGAAATTGAATGTCTTCACCAGCTTATGTTAAAAATTTTAATAATATCATGTATATAAAATTAACAAATAAACTACTATAAACAATTTTCTAAAATCTTATGTGGTTAATTTATGTGATTGATAATCAAATACGCTATAATTATATCAATACTATATTTTATTGAGGCATTAAATCAATAGATAACTCAAATAATTTTCTTAAGATATTTTATACAGTATTTACATTACATAAATCATTGTAAGGAATAAAATTAAATTAGGAAAAGTATTTGCATCCTTTTACAATTGTTTATTTTGCTTACATAATAAGGATACTTACATAAATAAATGAATAAATCATTAATTATTATAGTACGAATTTCATACAAATTATTAAAAAAAATATTAATGTTATGTATACTCATTCTATGATAGCATTGAATCCAGACAAAAATTGTATATTTTTTTATTAAATTCAGTTTGCGTTAAATATTCACATTGTTGCAATTTTATTAAAAAATAAAATAGTTCAGTTCTGTTTACAAAAGTTATAATAAATCTAATAAAAGCTTAAGCTCAAATAACATTATTTATAAATAAACGCATCTTTAACATTAAATAAAATTAAGTCTATATATAAATTAAAATTGCCACTTAAAAATACTCCTATAACATTTGAAATTTGCAGCCAATTATTAAAATATCTTGATCACTCATTATCTTATACATATATATATGTATATATATAATTATCCAGTCTCAATAGATATGCAAAAAGTTAATAAAACAGTCCAAAATTCGCTGATGTGTTTAAATACTTATAAAAATGTATTTGTAATAGACATATATACTAATTAAACTTTGTATAATTAAGAGTAGTAACTATAAATAATGCAAGTATAAAAAACAATAAAACAATGTAACAAAAATTGTATAGTATATTCTCTTCATTGTTTTATATCATATCTATTTCAATGAAATTTGAAAAAAGAAATTGTTTTATGTTATAATTTATGTACGTTATCTTAATATATACATAATCATTTACTTTACTAATATAACTACGTGTTATAGCTCATTTTTCCCATGTACATATAGTTGAGCGAATATTTTATCATAGATATTGTCAGTCACAATGAATGTTGCCATCATATTTAATTTAGATAGAATAATCGTTTATTTATATACGTATTCGTAATTGATCCAATTTCTGACCAATAATATACTTATGTAAAGAAAAAATTACCATTATACTAATAAGAAAAAGATTGGTGTTAGTATTACTACAAAAGATATAATTGATCCACATAATATTGAAAAGTAGAAAAAAAATATTTCAATCCAGTGTTTTAAAAGGCTTCTATTAATAATATCTGGATCCAATGCTTATCTAAAATATTACCAATTATAATGGACGGAGTGGAGGAATGCACAGGTAAAAGCCAGGGATAAAATTTAAAACTCAGACAAGTATAATACATGAAACCTTATGCTAAAACTTGTGCCAATAATCTACAGAAATGAAACTTTTTACATTTTAAAATTACTTAGGTAAAGAATGGAATTGAATTTACAGAACTAATATTGATTAAAATTGCTACTGGAGAAAGCTAAAGAGCGTAATTATCTTGTTTGTAAATAAATCAGGTAAATGATAAATGGCAGAGATTGTGATTCGTATTAATTCACATAAAATTAAAAGAATGTCCATATCATGTGTTTCAACTACACATTGACAGATTTAGCTTTTGTACTCAACCTGGAATCTGATTAGCAATGGTATTAGGGCCAGAAGATACAGCTGAAGGAATTGTGGAATCCTGCATTAAAGTACGTGTTTCCTCCTCTTGATCAGAAAGTGGTATTGCTGAAGCATCATGAGGACTTGTTTGTTTCAGCTTCAGTTGACTCGGCAGCTCTGTGAGTACTGGCCCGTACTGCGAAGTGGAACCCACCAGCAAGTCAGTTGATGGATTCAAACCGCCCAACATCTTTCCTCATAGCAACGCGTATATAAGATAAAGAAACAAACGTACGAACCAGAGCACGGATGGCTTCCAGTAAATAAAACCAAACTCAAAATATACGTTTACTAAAACCATTTTGCCTACCTGACCGCCGCTTCCAACCATTCCACTTCTTGCAGATTTGCCATGATGGAAGAAACGAAGCCATGCCCAGGCAAAGCCCAATATGAGTCCTATTAGCATCATACCAGCACCTAATGCTATAGAACTTTTTGCAGCATCTTCAACATGTTCTTCGATATTTGTTGCAGATGTTGTTGAATGTTCATTCACCTTTATCTATAATCATTTGTTAACTTACTTTTATATATTACATAATAATATTATATAATAGAAAATTAATATCACTAAATATTTCATTTTATATTTCTAAACTGTATTAGACCATAGGCCTGACACATACAAATTCTAAATATAAAATATAAAATAAACAAGATCATAAAATTTGTATTAATCCTTAACTTAAATTTCTAGTTAAACATGGTGAGCAAATTACATTAATAATAAATTAACAAAACATGGATACAGCAATACCTTGCTTAGCACTCAAAATATGTTCTTAGAAATCAAAACACTAAATAAAAAATTGTTAAATAAGGTCATCGTAGTACATAGTAAATAGGAATAGAAAAACATTTAACTGAGAATATAGAAGTTTTACTATAATTTAATTTAAATTTATAAACATATGTAACACATATGTATACAAGAAAATGAAATGTAAATTAAAAATTTATTTGTAGAAAACCATATTACATAAAGTCAGGATTAATTGAGATACCGTTAAACATGGTCTTACTGCATTTATTCAGCATATCCTAATGTTCATTGATAAGACTTCATCAGCATAAATATGATCATAAACATAATTTACAAAAAATTTATAAAAATACTATAACAAAAATATGAAATTCAAAGATAGGTTTGTTGTTGGTATATATAACAATATGTACATATAAATTAACAATGTTTATTGTCTTTTTCTTGTAGCTATCTTTGCTATTTAAATCATAAAACTAAAAGTAATATATCAGAAGAGTTAATTTACATAAAAATTAGTTCACTGTATTATAATACATTCAGTGAACTGAAGCAAAATACTCATTTACTGATACAATGTCATAACTCAAAATTTATAGTACTTGAGCTATTAGTATAAAAAGAATAATTTTCTATTAAAACAAATGGAATAAGTTCTGCTTATAATATTTTGATAGAGTCCTGAAAGTAAGTGGGAAATATTATTCCTGTATATCTGTTCAATGTTATTAAACATGCAAAATATTTTTGAATGTTTTCAAGGTTTTTTCTTTATATAATTATTCCAATGAATGAGCAATATGAAACTCATAGAATGTTAAATTAAGTTTCTTTATAATATTAAGCTTGCATTATAAATGGGAAATAACATTTTGCAATAAAAAATGAACTTTCTCCAATGTAATGAAATGTTTGTAATTATCTTTTTATAATGTTTTGTTTTCATTTCCATGTACAAAACATACTAGAAAAGTTTAATTGTTTAACTGTAGCATGTCTTTAAATTTTCCAAAATTTAGTCCAGAAGTTGTATGAAGACAATGTATAAAACAACTATTTTTCACAGGTCTTAATTATCAAAACATATTGAAAAATAATCTCAAAACACAGGTAAAGTATAGTCTTCTGATTCATGTATAATAAATACAATTAACATAAATAAAAAAGAAATTAAAATATTTTTTGTCTACATTTAAATGAACAGCAAAAGAGTTACTTTCATTCATTCTTTAATATTAATGAAACCACACAAATAAATTTATAAATAAATACACATAAATATAAGTTGATGAAATAGCTATGTATAATAGAAGTATCTTGTAGTTGAGTCTACCAATATAACAAACTTAACTTAATAGTTATTAACAAACTCAAATTTACCAACATTACAAATATAAAAATTTTATAAGTAATATTTTATTTACATTTTAAATATCTCTATATATACAGCAGCAAGAATCATTAATTTATATATTAAAATAATTTAAATTAATTATATATATATATGTATAGAATTAGAAGAATTCATTAATGTTACTGATTTGTTTCTATATAAATACAAAAACTATTTTAATCATTTTCACAACACATGTCAGTTTCAAAAATAAATTAAAATCACACTTGTTGATGTAGTCTCAATGAGTAACCATTATGCAAATTTTATAAAAAAAGGATCAATCAATTTTATTTGAATATACGTCATAATCAATTTTTAAGAATTGAAATATTTATGAACCAGATATACATGTATTAACTACATTGCAAAAGATTATTAAACAGTTTTCAAATTACCTCTACTTTTTTTTCCTGTGATGTGTCATCAGATACAAAACTGACCAACATTGTTGTTAGGCCAGCAATAAAAAACGACAAAGCGACCGAAAGTAATACCCATTCGAACCATTTTCTAGAACTAAGTTTATGTCTGGATATGATTCTCCAGAAACCACTTCTTAAACCTCCACCACCTCCAGTACCATCACCTCCGCTATCATATGTATAACCCACTGTCGTGGGTTGATAAACAGCACCACTATCTGGCATATCTTCTCGCGAAATGTATGCAATTTTTGCGATTTTTTTCCCAACAATGGGCACTTTAATCACTTAAAAATCTTTGCTAAATTTACTAATCAATAAAACAAAAAAATATGTAAAATGTAATACGCAAAATAATAAAGTTTCGATAACGTATCAACGTGTTAGTTTTTGAGCAACGTTTGTAATTGTTTTCAAGTTTATATTTTATTTAGTGCAATATTAATTATCCACAACTTTATTACTATTATTCATTCGCAATGCAGATACAATGTGCACATACGACGTATAGATATGCTCGAAGACGTCACGGACCAAAAACCTACTACGGATTCCATAGATACCATGAGTTAAAGTTATACATACATATTAGTGATATCAAAATAGGATCATATATAACTTTTCTTAGATGGCGGGCACGAAAGACCTGTTAGGTATGTGATTTGACCATTATTATTCGTTCCACAAAAGATCATACTCGTTTTGCACATCTCGACTAAGTTCAGAAGGCTCTCGTCATCAGTATGATGTCTCTCTCCACTTTGCTTCTTGCTTCGTGGTTATATACGGGGTGAACAAAAATATATGAATATCGGAAAAAGTGATGATGTAGGAAAATATGCCAAATGAAAGATCACTGGATATGCATACTCAGCGTTTTGATAGTCGCAAGAGTGTTTGCGCATAATTTTTGGTTGCGGAGTGTACTGAACTAGTTACATTCAATATAAACAACAGGAATGAAAACCTACTGTCCGCGAAATATAATCTTCTGTAGAGTAAATCATATAAATCTGGTTATATATAATATAGAATATAAATATTTTCATTTAATTACGTGTTTTTCATTAAGTCATACGTTCGTGAAATTTTACTAAATTTTCGCCTTTGAAGAATCGCGGATGGGAACGTGAAAGAAGTAGCGCAAATCCAGGAATCGAGATGCAGCTAGCCGAGGCCATTTAAGACGAGGATCAAGAGAGAATTCGGATCCTGCGAGAAGACCAAGAAGAAGAAAACTCAACAGCCAGCTAGACTCTGTTTGCGATCAAGGAACTTACTTTTGTATATGCTTTCTGGATTATTCTTTGTAAATCGAAATCGTAGTATGAATATCACGGAAAATATACACGCTATAACGACAAAATACTTCATCGTTTTGTCATTCCCGCACATTTCGAGCAAAGTACTCGGTGCTCCATTGGCGTCAACTCGTGTTTTCGGAAATCCCTAAAAGTCACACGGGCATGCGCAATACACCAAGCTTTACCTGAAAATCTAGTCTACACTATTTCTCACCAATGCATATGTGTATAATGCATTTGTCATAGATAATAGTGTATGCATGTTCTACAGGTCAATAAGGAACCGCTATATTTACGCTTATCAGCTGTGGAATGACAGATGGAATAAAAAATGGCTGAAAATGGGTCGGGGTCCGATGCTGGATCTCAAGAATATCTTGCAACAGAGATTATTAACTTAGATATTGAAGAGGTAATCAAATTAACTTATTACATAAATGTTTAAACGTATGAACTTTATGCAATTTCTTTAGGTTATGTTCTCCTACTTCATTTAAACAATTATGACTTTTATGTTTATAATGATTATAGTAATAATAAATTATTGAAATGATTATTATAGTCCTTCTCTTATTTCGTATGCCTTTTACAGTCTTTTATTTTTTAAAGTTTTAAACATATTTGTTGCTCAAATACATTTATTCTTTTGTTCCAATTCATAATTACTACTGTTTAAAAACATTGAATTTTATAGTTCAGTGACTTAGTGAATATAGTTTATAAACTTAAATTGTATTTTGCAATTTTAGTTGGACAATACAGAATATGCTATACCTGCTGTGGAGGAATTACCATCATTAGAAAGTATATTAACAGAACCTGATTGTACTTCATTATCTGGAACAGACAATGATTTTGGTTTCACATCAGGTGAAAAACTAGGTAGTAGTGAAACAACAAGTGTTGGAAGTCATTTATCATTAAATTCTTTAAATAAGTCAAACAAAACTTCACAACCAACATCTTCTGGTTCTATTTTGAGACATGTTATATTAAAAGGAATATCATCACAAATTGTGTCAGCTAGTGTAAGAACTAATATCCTACACCTTTAAAAACTAATAATTAAAATTATTAAGCAAATATATTTTATACAGGAAAAAGTAAATGCTGGTTTAGCAAGTGCAGTTGCAGCTGGGGGGAATATGTTGGTAGTTGGCACTAGTCATGGATTGGTGTTAGGTTTTGATTCTTCACAAACATTACGATGGTGTGATCAAGAAGCAAGACATCAAGGATCAGTTTCTGCACTGTGTTTTAATTATGATGGAAGTAGAGTACTAGCTGGGTTTGCTAGAGGCCATATATTAATGATAGATAGTTCTAATGGAAAAGTATTGAGAACACTTACAGATGTTCATCCTCTTGATACAGCTGTGTTACATGTCAAAGTAAGATGGGTTTATAGTATTTTTCTGTTTAGTTTATAATGTTATCTACTTTACTTATTAATAGTAAATAATATTTTTCTTCATAGTTCACAGATTCACCTAAAGTAGCATTATGTAGTGACAGTGGTGGATCCGTTTTTGAATTGAACTTTACAAGAGTTATGGGAGTACGAGGTTGTGATAGTAGGTGCTTATTTAGTGGGTCCAGAGGTGAAGTGTGTACATTAGAACCTTTATTATTAAATCATCTGCCATCACATCCTTTGAAAAATTATACATTAGTAGCAATGGCAACATTATCAAAGGTTTCTTTATATTTTTACAAGAAAAAACTTAAATATATATTACATATACATTATTGTGTAATACTTAAACTGTTTAGGTAATAGTAGTTTGCATAAGGCCACGAATGCGCGTTGTGTTAACTCACCCATTATCTGGTGCTCCTATAGCACCACCACAATTATCTTGGCAGCTTGTTGTTATACAAGCAGCAGATGCTTCTCGTGTAATTGATCCAGTTTTAGCTCTTGCAAGAGATGATGTGGTCCATTTTTACCAAGTATTAACCATACATAATTCTGATTTTTACATAAATACATTAGTAAAAAGTTTACATTGATTGTGAACTGTTTTATTAGGTATGTACTGAAGCTGGATCAAGAGTGAAATTATTTGCCTTAAGAAGAATGACTTTCCCATATACAATAAGTAATTTACGATGGTTAAACCCAAGATCTTTAGCAGTTTTGGATACTCAAGAAAGATTACATTTAGTAGATGTGAGAGCACAGGATAATTTGGAAACTTTAGATATGAGTCGTGTTGGAATTTCGTATGCATCCAGCCATTTTAAAGGTTTATCTACTGGTGGAAATGTTTCAAAGGTATTTGAAAATTGATCATAAAAATAATTAATAAATATTTAATTACTATTTGTTCACGTTATATTCTCTTTATTTTTAAAATTAGGCAATGGCATTGGCCGGTGAACGAGCATGTTATAATACTGTAGTAACATTTGGTACTCAACTTTTATTATTGGGTACCAAAAGTTTACACGTAGTTTGCATTCGAACATGGACAGAGCGATTGAGACATTTGACGATGCAGGTTAGTTTTTTTGTAGTAAATTAAATTTTGTATACTGTATAAATTGTCAAATTTTTTTATTTTCAGAAAAGATTTCCAGAAGCATTAGCATTAGGACTCACTTTTTATCAAGACAAAGGAAAAGCAGTTGTTGGCCTTCGTGGTTCGAAGCAGCGTCGTAAACAAATAGCTCGTGATAAACTATGTCAAGTTTTAATGCAGTACATGGAAGAATTGAATCATTGCTGTTCAGATGAAAATTCAGAGTTTGAAATAGTCACTACTTGTGTAGATTATTGCATACAACTGGAAAATACAGATTTATTGTTTGGGAAATTATGGGACTTAGTCTCGGAATCTGAAGGATTAAAAGCAAGTTACTTGCATGCTCTTGAAAGTCCATTACTAGATGGGAGTTTGCCTCCTCGATTACCACCATTAATTGCTCAACAATTAGTTACTCTTTATGACCAAGAAGAAAAGATAGACTCGCTTCAAGCAATTATAGTATTATTAGATGTTGATTGTTTGGATATTCATCAAGTAAGTAAAATATATAATACTGTAAAAGAAAGATGACTTGAATTACATATAATAAGATGAATTTAAGAAATATTTATTTGATGATATCATAGGTAACAACAGTTTGTCGTCAACGAGGTCTTTGGGAAGCTTTAATACATCTTCAAACTACAGCGTTAGGCGATTTCACCGCTCCAATTCACCAATTAGTACCAATTTTACATCATTCATTAACAAATTCGAAAGATACACTAACTCGAGATAGCATACAGCTTGGTAATGCACTTCTAGTATATGCTAGTTGCTGTCTTGCCGGTCGTGGCTTTCCCAGAGACGAACTTCCCGAGGGCATGTCTCAGAGAGCAAAAACGGATGTTTTAAGAGCATTACTTTCTCAACATTCTAGTTTAGCTAATGATTCTGAGAGGCAATATCCATATCTAAGAACTTTACTTCAATTTGACGCAAAAGGATTTCTTGACGTAATAGCCATTGCCTTTCAAGAACCCGAATTTACGTCTGAAATGGGTCTCAGGCAACGACAAAGACTTATAGATATACTATTAAATATTGTTATGCCTAGCACACCATTAAGTCCAAGGAATCCTGACTATATCAGTGATGAACATAGAAATCTAGTTCTTATATTCATAGCCAACGAAGTCGCGGAGAATACTGTTAATTTAGAACCTACTATGTTAAATAAAATGATAGAAATATTATGTACTGATTCAAGCATACGATCATCGAAAGAACTTAAGGCTGATAAAGAAAATGCAATATTGGGATTAGTACGTTCAAAAAAATTGCGTAATATATCAGATAATACCTTACTTAATCTGGCAGAAAGAGCTAACTTGTAAGTATATATAAAAATATATTATAAAAATGATAGAATATTAAAAATTTATTTGATTTAACTATATATATATATTTAATTCTAATTGTGTATTACTTATATTACAAGAATATATTTATAATAAAAGTGTGCAGTCGTCCTTTTAATAACAAATATTGATAAATTGCGTATTTTTAATAATAATAGCATCATACATAGTAACTTGTATCGCAGTATATAATGTTGCAGTACACGAGTTGCGGAGTTATTATATAGTGCTAGAGAAGATTGGATTGCAGTTTGCAAATGTATGATATTACATCCATCCAGACATCAAGACATTTGGCTCTGGTTAAAACATCTTTCCTTAAACTCGTTGCAACCAGTTATAATGGCCAATGCGGAAGCTCTTGTCGGAATTAATGCAAGTCAATTTGCTATTCTTGTAGCAACACATATGCAAAATAGAATTAATGAAATATTAGAAAAATTGGAAAATATTCCAAACTTACAATATGCTTTATTGGAAGCTTTATATCAAATAGTACAATATAAAGAAGAAGATATCACGTTAGAACTTAAAACTGAACTATTTGAAAAATATTTAGAACTTATGTGCGAATTACAACCAGACCGGGTAAGTAAAAGTTTGGGTTAAATGAAGATTTGAAAATGTACTTTCTTTCTATACATACTTTTTAACATAGGTAATTGAGCATATTCAAGGGTTCCATGGTTGTAGATTGAATGAAGCACTGAAGATAGTTCAGAAAGCAAATCATAAAGATGCTGAAGCAGTAATGTTAGAGAAGCTAGGAAATTATCAAGATGCATTTGATATTCTTTTAAAAGAATTTCAAAACAATCTTGAATTGGTAAATATATTTTATAAAAATAATATGAAAATATAACTATGCTAATAATTTTTAATAAATTTGATATAATTTTGTTTCAGTATTGTCAAAATAAGATATCAGAAAACGCGTCGATTCATACTGTAATACAGCTTGCAGGAATGTGTAGACGATCTGCAGGAAATTTAGATTGGATGCCACTTGTAGAAATTATTCTTCAAACACATTCGAATAGTAATGACGAAAAAGGTATGCTGTATTTTTAATATAAATATTTTTCATCCATTTCTTAATTACATAGTAATCAGTTATTTACGTTATGGTAACTTTCTAATTTTTAATAAAATTCATATTATCATTGTTTACGTAAAAGTATACTTTTTGTAGTATTTATAATTTATAGAATAAATACTAACTATCAGTAAATTGCAGTCGAAAAATTAAGTGGAAAATTGTTGAGAATTACATTAGAATTTCTTAGTGGTACAACAGCATTGTCAACTGTATTAGAACAAATATTAAAACACCCATTAGCAACAAGTGGTACAATAGGTGATATAAGACAATTGTTGTCTGGAGTACTTACACATTCTCGATATGAGCAAACTTTAGTTGAAACTACTGCACGTTTGGTTAGTTTGGAACTTCATAAAGCTTTAAAAAAATCATTGAGGTACTAAACAATTATAGTAATTCATTTTAAGAAATATATTAATGTAAGCTTGTTTATCGGTTTTATAATATTAATATTTTTATCTTTTAGAGATGCGGGTAAAGCGTGTACCAGTACATCAATAATTTGTGCAATATGTAGACATTTGTTATCACAATGTACAGACTATATAATAGTTTTTAGTTGTGGCCATGGATTTCATTCACAATGTTTAGAAGAACCTAAATCTTGTTATAAATGTTTAAATTCAAAAGGATGGTCAACACTTGTTACAAATACTGTATATACTACTAAATCATTCCATGTAAGTGAATATTCTTGATAAAAATTTAATTGATACATATATCGAGATATTTTAATTATTGATGTCTTTAAATTTATGTTATATTTTGCAGGAACATAAACAAATTCTACCCCCAGAATTTATGCGCAATAAAGATCTTTCTTTAAGACTTGCACCACCTACTTCTTTACCAGATCTTGAGGGTATTTTTTAATCTAGTCTTTAAATATCAAAGTACGACACCTCCTTTCTTAATAGTGTGTGACATTTTAGTAGTAAAAATGATATAATGTCATACATATGTACATTACATTAGATCTCGTTTTCATTCCATGAACATTTGACTATTTTCTTATCATATTTCACGCAAAACAGTCTGTATTATTTTTAACCAAGTTCCCTTACTCAGTTTTGTTATTATGTATGTATATATTATATGCACCCATTATTTTATATATTTCCAAATAATTCATGCTCAATCTTTACATCATTTTTCTGCTTAGCAGGATTTAATTTATCAAATGTTTGTACATTAAAAATTAATATCTCTATATTGTGTATAATATCAATAAGGATTTAAATACTTCTATCAATCTAAATTTTATTTGCCCAATGTGCAGTACGTTGCCAAATATCATTTATTAAGTCAATAAAGATATTCATTAATTCAATAAATTAATTTTTATTTGCTGTTAATAATAATGTGTTGTTCTAAATATAATGGTTTATTGTAAAAATTTAAAATGAACAGTATTATAAAATTAGTAACCTGCATATCTGTAGGATAAATACTTTTCATGTTGGAAAATGAGAATAAATTGTTTTACGTTTAATATTTTTGATAATAAAAACTGGTTTTTTCGGAACATTTTCCATTAGAACATAATTAGGATCAACATATTCATGACCTAGCAATTCACCAGTTAATAATTTTGTAACAAATGAAAAAATATTTAAATCAGATATGAACGATTTTTTTGTAGGCAACAATTCAACATTAGTGACATATTTATCTATTGTAGATTCTAATTTAATAAGATATGGAGTAATATTTGTTATCGACAAATATTGTTGTAACTGTAAATTCAAAAACTGAACATTAAACTATTATTTTATTGCACATAACTTATATTCAATATTAGTATTTATGTTAATATGAGGCTTAGTAATTTCTTTACCTTACTATCACACTTTTCTAAACTACATATAAGTTCTTCACTTTCAGCAATTAATTTATATCCTTTTAGAATATATTCTTGACTATGAATAGATTCATTAATGTTTAATGATAGCTTTAATAAAATAATTTCTTTCTTTACTTTATCCAAAATCAGTGATAACGGTACACCATGCAACATTCGACTGGCCATTCGAATTTTAGAATATTTTTCGCAAATCTACGCAAATATTTAATTCAGTTATTTAAAAAATTTTATATTATATTTATTCAATAAAGTATTTAATCTCTTTTCCAATATCATTAAATCTAAGTGTAAATAAAAATTATATTTTGAAAATATATATTGTACCTGTCGATTCATAGAAGTCCATGAATATGAAATTTGATCTGCAAATTGCTTTATTTCATTTCCTGCTGGATGGTGTGCTTCGGATAATTTCCATAAGGAATCAAGTTTATCCGCAAGGCCACGTGATATATTATTGAACCACGTGAGTTTAGTTTCCAATTCATAACTGATTTTTAAATTATACTGATTTTCTATTTTTAAAATTGCTACCTGTATAAATATTAAAGTCATATATTGTGTTATTTGTTTTTAGTTACAATTTCATTAGTATTTTTACAAGTACATGTTTTTAATATCTTTGTCAGTAGGTGTCATATTTTAATTTTATACATTTTTAACTCTTTCACGCTACATAATTACCGAAATATTTTCTAACTCATAGTTTCAATATATGTGCTTTTAAACGTTCTTACGATAATATTTTGAATGCAACTGATAATTAAAAAATATTAATTATGTTTCAAACATGAAAGAGTCGATTTATTTACTCACATTTCTTTCGAGCGTTTTCATCAGTTCATTGCAGGGAAATTCTTCTGTTTTCACTGGAAAATCCATTCGAAGATGATGGAGTATTTCAAAAATGTATAATATTTGTTTTTTTACGAATTATAATGATATTTTAATTATAAGACATAATATAATATTAATGAAGTATCAAGATGGATTACGCTCATCTACTATCCTGTTTACTCAAAACAGCGTTTGTCTTTTGTTTTACAGCATACTAAATTGATTTCTATGGATTTATTATCTGCTTTACTCTGTCCACAAAGATGTTTCAAATATTTGTACAAACGACATTTTCATTTTATTTAAGGTAATTAGTACATAAATTAAATCTGGCATTTATCGCTATTTGTCGCTGTACAGTCGATATCACATACGTTTACAATGCAGACCTTCTGATTTTAAAGTTTCAAATTCTGTTCTTTTACACGGTACTGGATTTAAGTGTCTCAGTATACAGTAAGAACATCGTGCTTAATGTAAGGCTATATTACGGTAATTATATGGTTACCGTAATATTAAGCTAATATGATTATTTATTGATACTAACATTTGCGACTAATATTTAAAATGGAGATACAGGTCTAACGTGCATCTTTCAAATTCATGTATTTTTCAAAATAAGAAACTTAGAAATTATAAAATCAGTATCAATTGTCAGATTGCAACGTATGCTTGTTATTTTTGTTTGGCTGTTATTTAATTTTTAGAATGATATAACGAGATACTATACATATATAACGAGCGGGTAAACAACCAGCTTCTTTTATACTTGGCCTAATATTATCTATAGCTTTGCAACCCTTAATGCTCTATGAAAAATCCGTAATATTAAAATTTTACATTTATCTATATAATTTACAATTTTTTATTTTAATTACTATTTTAATAACTCGGTATTATTAGTCATTATCATTAAACACTCTTCATTCCACATTCGCTCTGGAATTATTTTTATACATATATGTTATATAATAAAAAAAAAATCATAATCACGTATATTCAGGAAATATATCTTCATGTTTAAGAGAAAACCTTCGTTCACTGATTAATAATTGCAATCATAAATTTATTTTTACAGTAAGGAATCATGAATATATTTCTTGATACCCATTGTTTTGATTAATTAGATTCGTTTTACTATAATTTGAAGACAGAGTGTCTTTGCTGATTAAAACAAAGGACGGATTATTATATTACAAAAATGAAAAATGTATTTCAACACATTTTTTTATCTAATTTTAGCTCTGCAATATTAAAAATTAATTTGCTTTTATTTTCAATTTAATCTGATAATGACTGCAGAGTTTTTCTAATTAAAGGTATATGGACACTCATATTAATTTTTATAAATCTATTAAAGAAATTTAAATATATACACGTACAAAGTAAAGACAAATGATAAATATTTAATTTGTAATTTTGATTTAATAAGAATATTAATAACTAATATCAATATCAAGTCATTAAAAATTTCTGTATTATCGTACAATATGAATATTAAATTATTTGATAACTATTTAATGTAAATTAAATAACAAGAACATAATTTTACGACTATAACTAAACGATAAAAAATTTATCTAAAGAGCTGGTAAACTCTAAGTGATATATTGTTTAAAGTTTAAAAGTTATTTACGTAACGTTTAAACATTGCATCCATACATACACTATACGTAGTCTAAATTAATAATACACATATTATAGCACAATTTTATAACAAATTTTGCTTGCTTCACTTTGAACACAAAATTGGCAGAGCCGCTGATACTCTTCTCACGTGCACTGTGTAGTATAATGTCCATAGACATAATGTAAGCTACAAGACAACGATAGAGTACATCAAGACTCTGTCAGGAACATGCAAAGTTGCCGCGATGCAGTTTAGCGATTTATTTATAATGAATGTTGAATAACTTTCAAAATTAATCTAAATCAGTACTACCACATTCGTACTTCAATTTAAATATATTGAAAAATTATAATCTGCTTTAGCAATTCAAAACTAACGATGTCTTTCGACAACAAATTGCTTTCAATATTTCTTTCAATAATTTAGATTGTTTTATTTTATCCTCTTTGCCAATGTCCGCGAGAATGATTATGATATCTATAATGTTGAGGCCTATAATTTCTACCATGCCGTGGTCGAGCATGAGTAGAAGTATCGTAATAATGTTTCCGGTAATAACCACCGGAAGATCGGTTCCATGTTTTGCTATTTTGATACTCTTGAAAAGGATTATACCCAGTATTGATTCTGTCTTCATATATTCGATGATCTTTTACTTTTTTTACTCTACCTCGATCTATTTCTTCGTCATCTGCATTGAAGTGACGTTTACGTTCTTCTCGTCTATCATTGTCAACTTCTCTATCTAAATGTGTCCTGTTACCGTTCCAATTTACAACTGTAAAAGAAATAAGCGTGCGTTTTATATTATATTGTATTCTATAGCAAAATAAAGTTATTGTGAAAATAATCTTCTAAAATAAAAAGGTTTATGCTTGGTTTACAATCAAGACATTACCATTTAATCGGGTTATTTTAATACTTCATATAATTTCCTGACAATTATAAAATATATTTTGTAATAATAGATTTGACAGATGTATAGTAAAATGAAATACTTTCAATTTAATAGACAAATTACAATATTAAAAAGCCACGTTTTGATTTATCTACAATTTGGTATTCAAAAGCACTTAAAATATTATCAAATTATTTATGTTTTTCTAGGACTTTGATTGACGTTTTGGGTTTTAAGATAGTTGAAGGATTAGAAGTTCTCGTTGTTTGTACATCTGTCTTTTTGTTCAGCGTAGAATACTTTGATTTAGAATACATGGATGCACAATGAGCTGCTGAAGATTTTGAAGGAAAAGGAGCTGGACTCAGGTTCTTCGATAGAATTCTTTTGTTGTACTGACCCGAAGAACTGCCGTAACCACGATGGGACATCTTTAATAAATGTGAAAGTGTTTCGGAACGATTTGTTCCATTAAAATCTCTTAACGCTGCAACGCTAGGTGTGGTATTGTTTTGATTAGCCTTGTTTACATCTTCTCTACAAAAATGAAAGAAATTGTTTGTGTATTATGATATTAATTAAATGTAAACAATAATATTTGGTAAGGAAAACATGTCAAAAAAGAAATTAAATAAAAAATTTGTATCTATGACTTACTTATCAGTCACGGACCATCCGTTGGGTACTGCAGTAGACGTAGGAGAAAATGTATCTTTTGAAACTTGCCAACCTTTCATACTACTATTTGTAGCTTTTGTAACTACCTTCTCCTCTTGTGTTACTTTCGTTCTAACAGATTGATGCAATTTACTTTTATTGGTACTACTACTCTCTGTCTTACCATTTGCTTCTGTTTTACCGTTTTGATACGTTATTGGATTGATACTAACACTTGAACCATTTTGAGTTTTCATACATTGTGTTATGGTATTTTGGTTCTGAGTTATATTATTGCCACCATTTGTTTTCGATGTAGATTTCTGTGTTTCTTTTGAACTAAGAATTGTTTTTGGTAAATTATTTTTTATTGCAGAATTTTTGGAAGTACCATTAGTAGTACCAGTAGATGTGTTCGTTTTTGGTGTAGTGCTTGAATTAGTATGATTCTTTAATGGTACAATGGAATTAATATCCTCTTCTTCACTAGATCCATCATAAGGAACTAAACTATTTCCATTTAAAATTTTTCCATTTTTAATATGCATAATTAATCTTGGTTGAGATTTATCTTGCAATTTTTGTGGTAACTGTGGCCCAATAAAATTTGGGCTTTTTTGTGAGGTAAATTGAAGCATAGTACTCTTGTTTAATGATACTTGCGAAGTTGTTTCTGAATGCCCCGTATTGTCCTTATTAAGTAATGTACCATTGATTGACCCATTTAGTGAAATTATTCCAGACGTTGACGGTTTAGGGGTTACAGTTTTATTCTTTGGACTTCCGGGCGAAGATATTGTATTGTTTACAGTCACTGTACCATTTAATTTTACAGTTTGCTGAGTTTGAACCTGAGATGGTGTTTGTTGTTCCATTTCAAAGATCATTATATATGCATTTGTACTCAACATATTACTTAAACTAATTGGACGAACCTGTACAAACATATTAAACACAATCTTTATTGATCTGCAGAAGAAAATAATTTAATAAAATTAGACCATAAATATAAAAGAATAACAATATTATTGATACATACACAAGAATCATCAAATGAATAATATTGGCCTGTTGAAACTTTAGCAACTGCTGTGTAATGCCCGCAATTTACAGATGGACCCATATGTGTAACTATTGACATAAGTTTATATGTAAGTGGTTGTATGGGTTCTCCAGGTTCTCTCCAAAGATAAGGGCCCATATCTATAGACTGCTTAAATCCTATATGTTTTGATATTTTTCCTCCTAGAACGCTGAATCTCTTTAATTGTACACAAAGCACTTTGGGAGGTCGTTCTAAGCTAAACTGTTTTGTAGCAGGAACTCTTTTTTTACAAGCTTCACATTTATAGTCATTGTTATCTAGTTGTTCACGACTAAAGTAACTAGTTAGTGCTTCATCTAAAGTACTTGCTTTACGAATGTCTACTAATAAGTCCTAAAAAAATTTAGAAACATATATAAATTATTGAATATCTAATACAATACTTAAAAATTAATTTTTATATGTACTTGAAAATGTTGAAATGTAGTGGAAACATGCCGACACTGTAGGCATTTTACTTCAGTTCGGATATAGCCACCAAAAATTTGATTAATAGGTGTAGTTTCTTTAGAATAACTGTCTAATTTGCTCGCTTTATGTCTTGTTAAATAAGCTTTTTCCATGCCTTCCAATAAATAACGTAAAAACTCATGTGCATCCTCCTGCTGTCCTGGCACCATGGTTCGACAAATAACTAATAAATAAATTTAAATTACATATGCAATATTTATTAATTCAGTAACAACTCGACAATATTTTGTAACTCTTGATACTCACGCTTTAACTTGTTGTATATGTAAAATGGTTTAATAGCACATCCTGATTTTTGATGACTAAATTGTAAAGTTTTTGCCACTGCGCATGTAAGACACTCTCCACCTCCATCTAAAACTATCCTATTATCAAAATACGATACAAAACTGTGGAATTATAATTTCAATTCGTTTTAATTGATAGAGTATGAATATTAAATTATACATTTTGGAAACTTACCATTTTGTTCACACTTTGATGTATGATGTGAATCTGATAATAACCAGTTAACGAGTGCTGGTATATGAAACAGAGCTTGAAGAGTGCTGTTTAAATAACAAGTATTTCCAACGTTGTACATGCCAGCTCCAACTGGAAATGTGCCTTTCCAACCTAGACTAACTTTCTTGGAAGGATATAAAACAACACTTGGTTCTGGCAAACTGGGTCCCTTACTTGCTTTTTCATTTCTTTTTATACAATTTATTCCATCCTTTGTTTTATCGTCAGAATTGTCAGAATTTGGTAAGCTCAATACAATATATTTAGCTTTAAGTTGATCCAAAATTGTTGTTTGATAATCATCTACTTCTTTGTATTGAATTTCTGACTGAAGAATTCTAGATGCACTGTTGACCAAACATGAAGATAAATCTTCGGATGTTTTGGGCTGACTAGTCTCCAAAGAACGACACAGTGTAGCCGCAACAGGGTCACATATGCTTACAGCAGGCATCTTTGCTTGATTTAATTAGATTTCAAATTATTATTTATTTCGCCTATGACACAAAATATAAAATGTTAATAAATAAGAATAATTTTAAAAATTACTTAGTTTTTATAATAAGTATCCATTTTTTAGAAACATGATTTTTAATAAATTGGTAAACATTTGAACATAAATTACTAGGTAAATGATGACTTTAATATCAACAATTTTTTATACTAATAAAATTAATTTCATTAACAATATTCTGTAATATGTTTAAAATATGCATTATGAAAAGTAAATAAATATTTTGCTACATTTTATTATTAAAAATGCAAAAAATTATATTAATCCTTCTTATAATACAATACAGTTGCTGTACATAATACTGGAGCAATTAAGATAAATAGAATATATTGCAATGGAATCATTTCAGATTTTACTTTTTATTTATGATATATACATACTAAAAATGCACAAATTCCAAAAATGTTGAAATGCAAGGGTTAATTTCACTTCTAATTCATTAATGATCGCATTCCTGATGATGAATTTGATTACTAAATTACGGACTATTTATAATAAGAAACAAAAACATTGAATCGCGTACAATTTTTTCAATAATTACAAGGCATCACTCCGATATGTAACGAAGTACGTTAAAAGCACGCGGCGTGCAATTGATACCGCGCGAACAGATTCATTGTTTACGTTCTTCTTGTGAATATATACGTTATAACTTAGGCAAATAATTCCTATTATAAGTATTATAACACATTTTACATTATAAACGATATTTTCCCACCACAAACACGTAGAATCACAACGCTATCGATTAATTCGAAATTCCACGCGCTTACGGCTCTCGAAACGGTTACCGGATGAGTTTAACTGAGGGCGCGTGTCTCCGGTCACGAGTCATTTTTTCCCGCGTACTTTATTACACTTACCCCACTTGCGTTTATTCACATGAAATACTAACGTTAATTTCAATAAGAAACACTGTTAAAATCAATACATGTCGATACTATCCGACATGTTTTGAAATGTTAGTTTCGAGCATGCGAAATCAAAGGCCATCCTCTATCGTGATGTCAGCCATTTGCAATTATATGGGTGGCCATTAAACTTTTTCCATTGGGTTCTATGATCTGATCGCGGACACCCGAAAAATTAGATCCAGTTTTCATGTTCATAAATGAATTTCTAAAACAGATTAAAAAATAAGTAGAAAAAATATAGAAATAAAAAACAATGTACTGAAAGAAAGCATAAGATAAGGAAATAGAAAGAATTTATATTTTACTCCACTATATTCTAAGGAACTAACTAGGTGATCAGGTTTCGTTTTTTTATGAACTGAGTTTGATTCTACACACATTGTTATCTATGATATCGCGTAAGCGCAATTGAGACGATCATAATACCGAAAGTAGATATACCCAGCAGTCAGAAAGTTTCATGATTTTGAACATGCATCGATCCTAGTATATTTTGCTCATAATGTGAAAAAGTTTCTTCAATAATAACAACTTTTTAAACAAAAATAAAAAACAGTTATGAGTTTAACGAATAATAATTGTCCAAGTGTACGTTGCCCACTGAGCAGACGATAGCAATTTCGGTCAACAAAATACATACACTTGAACTCTTACAACCGGAAAGAGTTACATAATTTTAGTTAAAAGTTCTGATTTAATATAAATTGTTATATAATTAATGTACTATTATATTCTATAAATATATCAACAAAATTTAATAAACATTGCTTTGATCTTGTACGTTCAAGTGCAAATCTGGCTTTCTTGAGGAAAATGAAAATCAAAGGGAACAGGTATCTACCACCTGCAATAACATCGCGCATTAGCACGCACTATACTAAATTAGCAAAAAACATTTTCAAAATCGATAAATAACCAAATTATCACAAGTACATTTTTATTTTTAAAAATAACTTTGTATTACACACTTTACACTCCAGAAAGGTGATTCTAAAAATGACATCACAATCGAACATAACGTTTTTTTATAATTAAATTTTATATTGAAATTTATATTAATAACGGAAATATCGCAGTTACTGAATACATGAAAACGGTGTAAAAGGTAATAGTTTATTGTAAAATAATTAATTTGTAAGGTTGAAGCATTTTAGAAGTCTCATTCTTACATGAATTTAAAAACTTGTATTTTCGCGCGCGTTGTCTGGAAACAACGTAGAAGATATAATGTTGATAAAGTCCAGGAAAAGTAAAGAAGAGGAAGAGAAGTGAGCATTTCATGTGAGATTTGCCTAGTGGACTCGTTTTCAAACATTTTAACAAGCCTGTACCTTAGACACGAGGACATTTAAAATAGGAACTATTATACGAGAAACTACAGATTCGCCGAGCGCTTGTAAGGAAGCCAAAATTGTAGATTGTTGTACGTCGCTAGCGGCGACGAGCTATAGTAAGAACAAATCGCCACAAAAACAATACTGCTAGCACCATCTGATGAGCAAGTGAGAGATTATCGAACCAATTGTACTTTTTCGGAAAATAGTTATTTTTTCGTTTTGTTAACACCTGTACTATAAGTGACTACGTTTCCATCGAGAGTCCAAATCGGGTCAGAGTCGGGTTAGAGTCGGGTTGGGGTCAGCGCTTGTACGGTGGAAACGCCAAAGGTTTAGTTGAACTCTACCCTACAAAATTTTAGGGTAGCGTTCAGTTGAGGTTCGATGGAAACGACAAGAGTCGAGTTCATATTGCCAACATAACAAATCCAAATTGCATTGTGTATCACATGCTGTATTAATCGGTGTAGAAGAGGTTATTATTATTTTTTGTCGGTGATCTTGTAATCTGAGAAATAATTTTTGTATGCTATTTTGATATTGTAAAATGAATATTGCTCTCCTTTACATGTCAGAATATGGTAGTTGACTTTGTGCAGTTGGTAATGTTCAACGCTGCCGCAACTCCAACGTAACTTTGATCTGATGGAAACAGGCAAAGCAACTGAACTCTAACCCGATTTGAACCCTCGGTTGAAACTTAGCCATTATTCCCAGTCCTCGCTATTTGTTTATTTGGCTCTAATGAAATTAGAAAAATGTTTTTACAGTGACATCGAAGCATTGTAGTCAAAACTTTCTTAAATTGCATTTTATAGATCTTGAGTTATTCAGCCATTTACCGATAAAAGGTGAAAACTAATAGAACTTATAAAACTTATAAATGTTATTTAAAAAATTTGGAAGAAAGTTTTTCATGTAATGAGTAGAACGTACTTCGATTAACGTGTATTAAACATTATGGAACTTCATGTTCATTGAGTGTGTATACTTTCGTATACTTTTTATGTTATCAGTATGAAGTAGTTGCGTCATGAAATTAGCTTCATGAACTGAATTACTATGGTGTGAAGATAGCTTAGGTGTAATTATATCGAATGATATTTATAGTATGAGCGGAAATTCAAATAGACTAATATGTACGTCATTAACTAATGCCATTATTGAAAATGTTTAACGTGTGTTATGAACCAGAATGAAAGTCGAAACTCGAATAGGCCATCTAGACTTGAAAATTTTTAGAGTTACTCCTGCAATGACATCAAAGTTTCGTAGTCTTTTCATTTGTTCTAGGAAAGTCATAAATTTGATTGAAAATGAACTTGACTCTTCAAAGCACTTTCTCCCTAGCCCTAAAAACAAATTTTCCCTTTGCACATCTGTGTCACGCACTTAGAATATAATAGAATTTTTTACTTTAATCCCCTTACCCTCCCGACTGCAAAAATGGATCGAGAGCAAGAGAGAGTGACATCGAAACGCGGTCAAAACTTTATACCCCATTGATTAGGGATGATCTGGAAGAAAGATCCTGGCTCAAATAGAGATGGATTGTAAACGAAGGAATCGATTTTTTCCACAGGCAGGAACAACCGATCTTTCGACAAGAATACTTCGAATAATGGTCGAATAAACGATTGATAAAGAAATACAAAGTGTTTCGATTCCCGTGCGTAGTCGACACACAGAGCGGTTTAATGCTTCACGAGCACCAATCCGCGCCAAACGAAAATATCGCAAACTTACATAACAATACATCTACAATTTTTTATTTCTTTTTTCTTTCGCAAGAGGAGGGAAACGCATTACGCACTCCTGAAAGTGCTATCATGAAAATAGAACCCTGCCCGGTCGAAATATTACAACGTATTACAGGTATGTATAGGCATACTTTTTCAGGCGCGCACGGGAATAATTTATTTTATTTTACTTTATTGAGTCTCTTATAAGAGGGGGCATGGGTGCAAACATGGGTACAATTTTTCAGTAGTGAATACTGGAAACGCGCCATTATAACATTGTGTTGACGGATCTACATGATATTATATTCTATGATTACAATCCGTTACTCTGAGAAATTTGAATTCTTCTTATACAGTGGCTCTTCAACTAAATAGAATAACAATTGATTTTTAAACTGTGACATAGGAAATAATTGATATTATATAAAGCTCATTGATTAATTAAGAACAAAAAATAATGATTGTTAGATCTAGTTCTACGGTACGTGTATGTTAAAGAGGTAATGGTGTAAAAAATTAACATTTTTATTATATTATTATATATTTTTATTAGGGCAAAACTAAAGTTAAACGTCCGCAATTAATAACAATAATGGAAGCTTCAAAATCAGCGCAAAAAGATGTCCACACGGATAGAAGAGGTAACTGATGAAATCTTTATTACTCAAATAACTAATAACATTAGATAATTATATATTTTTTCATTTGAATAGAGTATGAAAGGCCACAACCAATTAAAATTGCACAATTACTCGGACTGTCTGAAAATTTAAAAAGTATTCAAAAAGATAGTGGTTAGTATGTATTTACAATTGTTTTTATTACATATATTATTTGTATGTATTAACTTGTATATATTAAGGAATATATGTTTCAGTTCGCAAAAGAATAGAACCAGAAAGACTAGGTGCATACTCAAATACGAAGAGCACAAGAAAGAATGGTAAACAAAATGGTTAGTATAGAAAATTATATTTTCAATGAAATAAAATATTTAATAATTGATGCTAATGGACAAATATTTAATTCTTATTAGGAGCAGGTACGTATATCCAATCTGTGAACGTACAAAAATGTGTACGTAGAAATCTTGATTTTAATGAATATCCAACTAATTCTTTGAAAAACAGTCATGAAAATAACATACAATCAAATAAATTTACATCTAATAAATCAAGTGATAAAAAATGTTCTGATTCACTTAGAAAAAAAAGTTTATTATTGCCTCCAAATACTATAAAAGAGAAACATTTACAAAAATGTACTGATAAGATAAAACGACATTCAAAAATATCTGGAATACCAACCAAAATTGTGCATTCAGATAAAAAAGGCGCTAATCAAAAAGAACATAAAAAAGTTAAGGCTGTCAATAATTTATCACCAAATAATAAATCTTTCAATAATAATTCTACTGTATTGTTTGATGGTGTGAAACCATTTAATGGACAAACTGATTCTACTGAACCTCCCAAACATGTAAAAGCAAAATATACAGATACGAACCATGTACAATGCTTTGAAGCTTCCCCCAATGTATCAGAATGTGATATTTCTTTTCAATGTACATCTAATAAAAAAATTACAAATAATGAGAATCAATCACTTACACAATATAAGCTATCAGAGGAAAGATTTATTTTGAATGAAGCTAATTTAGAAAAAGAATGCTCTGTAAAAGAGAAAAAAGAAGAAGGTGAACGTATACAAAATATATGTGATAACTTACAAAATACAAAACTGGTAGATTCTGAAAATGCTTCGTCTGAAATGATTTACATTAATAAAAATAAGCTTATGAATCTGGAACATGATTTACAAAACTTGTTAAGTACAACTGAAGAAAATGTATTAAAATTAAAATCAATGTTAATGTATATTAAAAATTTGAATGAAAATATTACGCTACCTGATGCTGATGCAGAAAAAAAACATATTGAATTGGACAAAATTAATAATATAATGGTAGACAAAGAAGTTCAAGTAGAAAGTTGTTCGAATTTAATACAGTATTCAGGAGAAATTTTAAGAACACCTATTCTACATACTCCACAAATTACTGTAACAAATATATTGTCTATAAATAGAAATCAGTCAATTCGTAATGTTGAAAATGATAGAGAGAATTATGAATTTATTAATAGAAGAAGAACATCTGATGGAGATGGAAGTTTTCTAGAATTAGAAAACCAACTTAATATTCAACATACAAAATCCACTCAAGATCCTTTCTATTTGCAAAAAACTCCTGTCATTACAAGATATGAACAAAAACAGAAACGATCTCTCAGAGAATATATGGCTCTAAAATCAACTATGAAATTTTTAGAAACTCCAGATGGTAAAAAATTCAATCCTTTGCGTCAAATAGACAACATAGATAATTCTGTTCTTAATGCTACATATATATCTAATAAAATACTTAAAGACCTTCATAATTTGTACTCTGAATCACCAGATTCTTAACAAACAAATTTTTTTGTATATATCTTTACAAATGGAAGAAAATTATTAATATATTCATGTAATTTATAAACTATATGTATAAGTATAAATATTAATTTAATATATTAGTAGTAATAATTTTATAAATATATATATATAATTGTATATGGAAAATAAAATAAGTATTTTACAAAGTAATTACTTTCTAAGATTGAAGTTACAAATTAGTATTCAATTATACAAATTAATGTAAGCTATATTTAACTACGTATATACAGAATCGACCCAATATGAGTTCAGGACGTCCCCGTGAGCAGTTTATTGCACTTTACAGAATTGTAGGCGTATTATATCAATACGAACTGTGCGCTCAAAAATTTGATTTCCATACGAAAAACAATGACTGGGTGGAAGACGCTATATGCTGCTATAAATGAGTATTTGGCATATATTATACATAATTCGCAGCAGACATTTTTGAAACTGATAAATAATAAAATTTCCAAGTAAATGCTTACTTTCAAAAGTAAGCTAGTTCATTTAATAACAAAAAGATTAAGAATAATCTACGATAATATGTTGTAAAGTAAATAATTTAAAAAGTTGAACATTTTTCCAATATTTTACTTTTATGTATGTTTTAGAATTTATATTTACGCTCGTACTTTTTGAAAATATAGCGACTAATATCGCCAATCGAACTTCATAGACGCGTCATCTAGTTATAGTCACTAGTTTATAAGTTGTGTATTTAGTAATTGGTATGATTGTTTTTAAGCGGCCCATTTTTTGCAAGGGTCACTCAGAATAAAGGGATCACGTATCGAAGTCAGTCGCGGGAAACAAAGTATAATTTTTTAAAAATCTTTAATCCAGAATTCCCTGTCGCTTTTCCACTCCGTATAGGTACTTGACACCATAAATTCATGTATCCCATTTATATGAAGTTATCAGTTTATAGCACTCTGAAATCAAAAAGCAAGTAATATATTTGCACAATATATACATTCGCTTTACAAAGCACTATTTCAAAATCGTATCCCCATCCACTTTTATTTTGCAGAGGCATTTATTAAATTTGTTGTATTGTTCCGTTTCTATCGAAAAATAGCTTCTTTACAGAGTGCCGCCTTTTGTTATATTAGGGGTACCGAAAAGTAATCAAAATTTTATTTACTGGCAAAAAACATTTATTTACTAAAGAAATCTTAAATGCTAATTAACAAAATAATTTCCATCATTTTCTAACGCTTTTTGCCAGCATAAAGGCAATTGTTCGATTCCCTTCTTAAAAAAAATCCTTCGATTTTTCACTGAAAAACTTTGAAGTCATTGAAGAAATTTTGAATACTTTTCGGTACCCCTAATATTTACTCTTTAGTAATAATTTATGTATCTTTTTTTATTATTTTATAAACACGGCCACGCTTTATTACTCGATATACATATACCCTCACCGCTGACAGCGCCATAGTGTTAGCAGCCGAAAATTTTGTACCACTGTTTTGATTACTTCCCGCTCTAAAGTCTGCCGGTATCCGTTCTTGTTTTGAATTCTATTGCGTCGTTTGGTGTACTTCTACGCGTGGAGAATTTTTCATTAATCTTGTTTAGCAACTTTCTTCCTCAGTGCATTTAAGGGTTTGCTGTTTCCAAGGATTTTTGTGGTTGGATTTTTTTAGGACTTTCATAGAATCCGTAAGTATTACTGCAGCAACTAAATACTCTGAAATTCAAATAGGTATATTTTATTGTCTTTAACAATATAATCGCCTCTGTTTTAAACATTACTGTTTTGTTACAGATACTGTATGAACATCTTCCGTGAACAGGTTCCGATTTAACTTAAATATCTTAGCGGTTTTTAGTAATCATTTTTGTGGAAACATAGGTACGTATTTTGCGACATATTGTAAATACATTTATGACATATCGTAAATGTATACTTACATATGTACACTAATATCGTTTTTGTGAATATTTTGCGAATTTTCATTTATCATAAATATCAAATATGAAAATTCGATTTTATCAGAATCAATTAAGTGAATTAGCACTTAAAATAGTAACATTTTTTTAGAAGTAGAAAAAATATTTCTTTTACAGATATTAAAAATCTCTCTTTTATGTAATGCCAAAAATGTAATATTAAATGAAAATTGTAAACCATAATTTTCAGTGAACTGTGAGTAAATTTTATCGTTAATATTTGAAATTATTAGGTATACAAATGAATAATCCAATTTTTCTGCTTCATTCAAGGTTTATTTTAAAAGTTACTAAATTGAATTGTTCAATCAAAGTAGTCGCCATTTCTTTCTATAACTTTAAGCCATCTTTCTGGTAGCTGATGAATTCCATCTTGAAAGAATATTACGTCTTTACATGCGATGAAGTCGTCAAGGTATTTTCGGATCTCGTCCACTGATTGGAAGTGCATATCAGATAAGGCGTGCTGCATCGACCGGAATAGGTGATAATCTGACGGAGCAGTGTCCGGTGAATATGCCGGGTGCTGCAAAACATCCCATCCAAGACTCATTATGACATCTTTTGTATTGGAAGCAATGTGTGGCCTCGCGTTGTCGTGCAACAGTTTCACTGGTCGTTCTCCTTTGCCGTATATGGTCGTTTTCTTTCCAATGCTTGACTCAAGCAGATTAATTGTCACTGGTAGCAATCTGCAGTAACTGTTTCACCTGGTTCTAACAACTCATAGTAAAGCACGCCCTTGATATCCCACCAAATGCATTAATTTTATAACAGCTTAAAATAATTTGGATTATTCATTTGTACACCTAATACTTTAAACATTTGTTACTAAATGATTGAATTTTTTTTTCCAAAACTGTACAAAATATTGTGACAGAAATATGAATAATTTTTGCATCCATTAATTAATAATATTTCATCTTGTGGCTCATTTTTTTCATAAAATTAAACAGTTCATTAATATATTATGATTAAAGCCGTAGACCTACCTTATGAAATGGATTGTAGATCCGAATGATATAGATTCCTTATATCTATCCTTTAGGCTATGTGCATTAAATATAATTTATATTAGATGTTAAAGAAGCGTACCTGCTTTACATATTTCAAATAGGCAAGAAATGTGCCTAAGATGTCTGATTTTTTGACTTTATTATTTCATTATGTAGGATTTGTCATTTATTATACATAATGCTATACAAAGCAAAATTAATGCACAATTGTTTCTGACCATTAATAACTGGAAAAATAAATAGACAAATCTGCAAACGGACAAAAATATGAATTTCACTTATAGCTCTACTTGGCATTAAATACAGAATTATGTTAAGCATGCAATAGATCATGCAAACACATTTTGGATTCAGTGTGTTAAGCAAATAAATAGATTTATTTAAGTTGTAGTTTGTAAGTATTTATCTTCTCACATATATTTTACATCATTTTTTTTTATGACAATGGATGGTGATATTAAAGAAAGAATTTTCTTCTATGTAGTCCAAAGAACTACAACAATGCAACAATATGTTTAATAATTGTTGGGGTACTTAAATATAGGTAATTGTTAATATTAATTTAATAGATTTTATAATATTTCAGGTTTTGCTTTACATTTTATCACTTTCATTCTTAGAGGTACTTTTTAATATTACAATTACTTTTTATAATTTTTTAGGATTAATCTCTACCATATACTTATTCTGTAATTCATTCCGTACAAAATAATTACATATTTTATAAGATGTCCTCCTTAAGAGTACTACATGGTACAACGATAACAAAATTTGACCTTGAATTTGAAGGTATAGTTCAATTTTACAGCAATATTTTTTTACAAATCTTTGCCAATTCAGAGATCTAGAATAATATTATAGTAGTCGTGACATATAATTTTCAAATACTCTGTACAGTGAGTCATAACACTTCATACATCACAAGTTGTACTTCAAATTTGGCTAAAGAATACATTATAAACATGATACTTTCATAAAAAATGTAAAAATAACTCGTGTGCAGTATTAATTGCTTGCATATAAAAATGGAACTAAATTTCCTCAAATATCTGGAATAATATTATAGTAATACATATGAGCTCACCGCCAAAATCGTACATCTGTAAAAACCTTTTGATAAATTTGAACTTTCTTCTATTTTGTAATTTGGAATAAACTGTTGTGTGTTAAGTAGAAGGTGGGGAAATGCGCAAATGCGTTAATGCACCGGATATCGCAATACAGTTATACAATACACGATCTTTTTCTCCATATTCCGTGGTAACTGAGCGCGGAAAATGTAAATTTTACGCATTTGACAAGCTAGCAAGGTCAACCATATTTACTAAGAAGTTCCTTTTCTTTGCAATGTAACAATTAGAATGGTATGTATTACATTAAAAAATTCTAAGTAGTTTTCAAGAAATTAAAAATAGCACACATGTGCTATCTTTAATAGCACACATGTGCTATCTTTTAAGGGTGTAAATACTACTAGGAACTGCATAAATCATAATCAGATATAAATATATATTTTGTACATTTGTTATTAACTAATACGTAATATTTATATTTCGAAACTGTTGTCTATTTTCGACAACAGTTTGTAAAATAAATTGTTCCTTTTCTCCATTCGTTGATTATAATTTTTAATAATTTTATTACCACGTCACTAATGACGTAAGTTTTAATTTATATTGAAAATCATCTATCCTTGAGTTATGATGCTTTTCTGAAAATTCAATAAATATTTCAAACATTTTCGACAACGATGTATAAATGTTCAATTTACGATTGTTAGGATTTCAAAGACAAAGGTTCGAATACAAATAGAAATAATTTGGAAAGTTCGTAAACTGTTTGTAGGACGAAGCGTTTTTTTTGCAAGTTTCTTCAGCCATTGTTGACGTCTTCGAAACCATCAACTCGGCATCACTTGGTAACCAAACGGGCCAATCGCGT